AATCAATACCCACTGAATTAGCCATTGTTTTAGGGTGCAAAAGAGATCCCAAATCCCAAACATAATTATGGATAATATTTATGAAGTCTTAACTAAGATAAAGACAAGACAAAGCCCAAGGTGTATTATTTGGATAAATGGAGACCATTAGCACAAGGTCATCATGGTATCCTAGAATCTACAATCACACAGCTTCTTCAATCAGGCCTGGACACAATGGGAACTGTCACAAATCCATGATCAGTGGTTGGGCAACACATCAGAGTTACACGTGGGATTACAGAAATGGGACTGGAACCATGTCTGGAGCAGCTACATTGTGCGAGACAGAAGAGCTCCCAAGATTAGTCCAGAACCTTCCAATCATGGCAGCCTTCCAATCATGACTGCAACCCTCAATAAGGCGATCTCCATCAAAGACACACCAAGGCAAGTCTCTCAGGAAGATTGGTCCTTTCTAGGCTGGCTGTAGATGGGTGGAGGCAATCTACTTTGCAATGCATTTTGCCCAAGGGCAACACTGTTCTCATTCCTAGTTAATGGTCTAAAGGAACTCAATGGAACCTTCATACACTTAATCCTGGCCGAAGGACATCCTGCCTGGTAAAGTAGAAGGTTAGTATGACCCCACATGAGGTGGACTGACACCGTGAAGCAAAATGAACTCAGACAGTGAGGTACCAAACAACTTCAACACTTCCTTCTTTGCCTGAGGAATTGACTGTTCCTTTGACAAGCTCATGAATGAGTAATTGCTTCCGTCCTGGGTGACCCAGGTACAAAAGGTGAAGGGGAACTTGGGACGAAGATGGGGAAAAAAGAGGAAGTTGTCTTATTTATTTCTGCTGTTGACTTTCTGGTTTATAATGTTTCACCTTTATATTTTTATAACTATATAGCTTACATAATTATATAGTTTATTTTATAATTTTAGCTTAGATATAGTATCTAGCTTATATATTAAATATGTTTATATATTTACCTTATTTATTAATTTATAATTACATAGTTTATAGCTTATAAATAGTATATACTTTATAATTTTAAACATTACAACTATAATGTATAATTTATAAAGCTTCAAAAATTCAGTTTAATTGTATTGAACCTAACCCACTCACTTGTAACTTTTCTTCATTATGAAATTTTTCAAATGATAGAACATGTCTACATTTGTGGACTGTCTAAAGATTACAAGGGTGAGCACCTTTGCATGCAGGTATTATAGTGGTACATCTAAGAGTTTGAATTGAAATCATTGCCAGAAAGCCAAATATCAACTTGGAGAAAGATATTTTGCTCAGTAATTGTTCTTGCAATTATGGATTCAGTGGAAAAGTGAAGTCGGTCGTCAGAAAATAAAAAAAGTATATCTTTCATGGCTTGGGCTTACTTAGGACTATAGTGCACTTCAATCTGACTTTCAGGTCACCTTCACTTCCAGCCAGGAGTAAAAAGGCCCTATAGTTTTCATGCTTATCAGTTGCCTTTAACAAGAAAGATAATGGACTTTTTTGCTCCTTTAGCAATAAAAAAAGTGATTCAGGTTGAGTTAGTTAAAGTTTATTGTGCCAACCTGGCCAATAAACACATGTGGGGTTAATTGAAGGGTGGAG